GCTCTGTAAGGACAGACTTCCTGAAGCTCCAGGCATAGCAGGAAGGGAAGAAAATCAGTCCATTTAACTAATTGAGTATATCACATGTTGACAAATACATAGAGCAGGCCCTAGGGCCTACAGAACCAGCCCCACTCCCAGCCACAAGGTTGAAAGTTTTATGGGACAGAACATTAAGACTTCTTTATAAATATGAAAATAGATTAACTGGAAAAGGTTTTTGAAAAGGTTAGCTAAGAGCCATGACCACCACACTGCCTTGCCCTCCCCTTGCATAGAAATGTAGTGATGTGGTCTGACCATGCAGGAAGTGCAAACAGCAATTATTCAAGTGTCTTAGACGTACTGGCAAGAAGCACCCCAGTCTTTAGCTCTGAGAAACAGCCATGCCCTGCTCTTTATAGCCTCCTAGTCAGCTCTGTATTCCATCTAGTAGCCTTACATGCCCTAAAAAAGGGCAAGGGACTGAATTGGTGTGGAGGAAAAAACCATAGGTCATAGCTGTCTACCAGCTCAGCCTAGAACTAGGGGGTCCTCTGATCCTGTATTGAGGAAGTGCACAGGGGGTCTGGTGGGGACCAGAGCTCTTTGCTGGATTTGAGAGGTTTGGTGTCAGATGTTGGCCCTAACTAGGAAAGCCTCTCACTGCTATCATACATAGTAAGCACTGGGAGCCCAAAAGTTGAACCCGCCTTAGCCTAGCCTACCTGCTTTGTGGGCTCCAGGGAAAAGTCAAAGCTGTGTACCAAGGGGGCCTTATGGCTTCAGTGGAAGATCCATCCAAATGTGAGGCAAGACTAACTCCCTCACCCATCCTGCTCTCCTTGTGTTTGTAGGCCAATGCTTGTTATGGAGAAAGGGGCTGGAGCCAACCCTCTTGGCCTTTCTTCTTCTACCTCCATCTCCTCAGAGGCACCTGCAGAACATGGACTAGTCTCCTGGGGCCTGGGTCCAAAACCGTTTTCTTCCTGAAGACTGGAGCAATCCATGGCCTCATGGGCTGGAACAGATGCCCTGAATGGTGGGATCTCCTTTACTCTGTACTTGAGACTACTGAGGCGTGGTGGGGGCCCATCAGATAGTGATTCTTCCTGGCCCACAAATGGACAGGCTTGTTGACGCAAGAATTCAGGTGAACCAGGCAAGGACCGCCACCGACGAGCAGGTGGGGGCAGGGGCTCCTGCCAATCAGTCAAAGGCATAGTTCCAGGCCCTGGTGCATCCAGGTCAAATACCAGGGAGATGACAGACTTACTGGGTAGGTCAAAGAACTTGATCTTGCCACCCTTGAGATCTTGGCGAGCACTGAAAGGGTTGACTTTGGGGCTATGGGCAGTACCATCTCGTGGCCGGTAGTAGGGGTCCAAGACACTCACTGTACGTGGGGGTTTACCAGACAAGATGTCTGACTGGCTTCGAGACAGCCAGATGGTACGTCTTGGACGCGGTGATTTGTGGGGGATCTTGTCACCCAGTGAGCTCAGACGCTTCACCCCAGGTACTTTCTCCAAGAGTCCTAAACAATAGAGAATCAAGTCTGGGTTACTCTCACTATTCATAACAAATAGAAGCAGTACTTTACCACAAAGTGTTTTCATTCCAAAACCAAAAATGGTTATCAATGAAGAAACAGAGGGAAGTGATATGCCAACTCATAGCTCCTAGAGAGAGTCCAGTATTTTTTCCATCATCTTTCCTTCCCTCTTTGCTTCTGGACCTGGCATCTTGGCAAACATAATCTTAGAGGGCAAGGACTCACACCCTAATTTCCTCCCTTGGGGTCAGGGTTGGATTTCTGGTCTAATCTCTTACCTTTGGCTATAGGCTGTACCTTCTTATCTCTTTCTTGCTCTTCTTCCCGTAAGCGGCTCAGAATTTCCTCCAGGGTCTTCCCAATCTCCACGAAGGATGGGCGCAGTTTGGGGTCCATCTGTAGGCATCCACAACAGCCATTAGCCTTACCCTCCATCTCCACCCCATTTGAGTCAGTTTCTGGCATCTTTTAAGATTCAAAGTACAGCTAAGAGATCTTTTCTGAAAGCCCCAAGTAATGAGGATGATTTCCAGGGCTAAGGTCTAGGAAGACATTGCCTACCATCTCCCCCATCAGTTTCCTTTATGTGTATTTCTTAGTGGCACAGGACCCTCCAAAAGTTTGGCTTATTCTATTAAGTTCTGCTGCTGGGCACCAGGCACATACACCAGAGGTGGTGGGTTTGAATCCAGCCCGGGCCTATCAAACAATAATGACAACTATAACCAAAAAAAAAAAAAAAAGCCAGGCATTGTGGCAGGTGCCTGTAGTCCCAGCTACTTGGGAGGCTGAGGCAAGAGGATCGCTTAAGCCCAAGACTTTGAGATTGCTGTGAGCTGTGACACCACAGCACTCCACCCAGGGCGACAGCTTGAGACTGTCAAAAAAAAAAAGTGCTGCTGCTATTCTGGGGGCTACCTGATCAAAGCCTACCACTTGGTCATGACAAGTAGGTCCAGCCCCCCAGAGCTCTGTACACAAAGGCAGACAAGAACCTTTCTCATGTGTCTAAGGATCAGATGGATCCACCATCCAACAATCAACCTGACCATTGCCCCATCAACATCCAAGGCAGGAGTGGTAGGTCTATCCTGCTAGCTGAGGACCAGATAATATAGAACAAAGCTTTCTTTCATTGGTCCAGGGCTCTGGAGACCCCCCAAGAGGCCCAGAGGGAGGAGGTGGTATGGTTGTCACCCTCCAGTGAAAATGAGGTTAATTATCAGCCTCTACAGTCCTAACCAGGTAATAAGGATTCAGCCAGCTCCTGATGAAAGCCAAGGGAAGAAAGACACTCACATTACAGCAGTTGAAGGTGAGCTGCAGAAAGTCTGGGGGACAGTCTCCCACCATGTGCTGGAAAGCGTCATAGTCCAGCCCGAAATTCTGTGGATGGGTATGGTGGGGAAGGTATAGTGGACATGGGTAGACAGATCATTAATCCCCACCACCACCCTGGCCTGCTCAGAAGAGGACAGAAGCTGCCCCTGAAAAGCCACAGACTGAGTTCTAGCAACTCTACCCCAAGGACAAAGCAGTTGAATAGCCTCAAACCATCCCCATCCCAGTGGCACTGATCCCAAGCCTGCAGCTCACCTCTGTGCGGGGAAGATAGTCCGGATCAGCCTGGATGCGGGCGATGATCTCACAGAGGATGATACCATAAGAGAACACGTCTGCCTGGGGGATGGTCAGACCTTGGTTTCCCTCTCAATAGGGTGAGGGGTAAGATACCTGCCCCTCCATGCTAACAGCTCAACCCTGGGCTCTATTGCCATATGTCATCTGACCCATCCACTGGGCAGCTGCCACGTACTAGCACTGCTCTTATGAAGAACATTCTGAACATAAAAGGTGATCCTGGACACTTTTTACTAAGAGTAGATTCTAAGGAGAACCAGGCCTTGAGATCCCCCAGACTTACCTTCTCATTATAGGGCTTACCTTCTCATTATAGGGCTCATCTCGGAGAACCTCAGGTGCCATCCAGAAGGGTGAGCCCACTACAGCCAGCTTCTCACACCCCATGCTGTGAGGTGAAGATTATGTAAAAAATGAGCTTGCTGCTGCCTGGCACAATGAGCTCTTTTTTTTTTTTTTGAGACAGTTTCACTATCTCGCCCTCTACTAGTAGAGTACCGTGGTGTCACAGCTCATAGCAACCTCCAACTCTTGGGCTTAAGCGATTCTCTTGCCTCAGCCTCCCATGCAGCTGGACTACAGGTGCCCACCACAATGCTGGGTTATTTTTGTTGCAGTTGTCATTGTTGTTTTAGCTGGCCTGGGCCAGCTTCGAACCCACCAGGCTCAGTGTATATGGCTACTGCTGTAACCCCTGCGCTACAGGGGCTGAGCCAATGAGCTCTTTTGGCCAATAGGAATTCCTCTTTCCCAAGGACTAGGACTGACCAAATTTAGGGAGCTGTGGTTGAACGTGACCTAGTGCTGGGATTTTCCCTTAGCTTCAGCCCCTTCTCCTCAGATCCATTACAGCTACTCACCTGACATCAGGGATCTTCTCAGCCAGGCCAAAGTCAGCAACCACTGCAGAATAACCATTCTCATCCCTCTTTATCAGGCAGTTCTAGAGTTCCCAAAGAAGAAAAAGCTAAGGTGGCCCAGACATAAGGATCATCTACCATAGCTATCACCCAACCCTCCCTTCCTATCACAGGGCACTTTGTCCTCTGCTCTTTGGTGAACCACACTCTTAGGCTGACCCCAGTGGTCATATCTGGGGGCTATAAGCCATGTGAGATGAGTTAGTCCCTAAGGTTCACTTCATACTCCAAGCACAAATATTTGTTTTGTCTTTCTAAGTGCTAAGCATGGCTTAAGTGCTAGAGATACTTCAATGAACAAAACAAATATTCCTGTCCCCTTGGAGCTCATATCTACTGGAAGAAGACAGACTATCAGACTCCAGCCTTCCTCTTTCGTCAGAATGCAGAGACCCAAAAACCCAGGCCTGACCTTGCCAAGTTAATATATGGATACACTTTCACTGTCCACAGGATCACCACCAACCTCCCCCCTCTGACATTAAAAGTCTATGATCTAGGGTGGTGCCTGTGGCTCAGTGGGTAGAGCGCTGACCCCATATACTGAGGGTGGCGAGTTCAGATCCGGCCCTGGCCAAACTGCAACAAAAAGAAGAAATAGCTGGGTATTGTGGAGGGCGCCTGTGGTCCCAGCTACTCAGAAGACTGAGGCAGGAGAGTCGCCTAAGCCCAGGGAGTTGGAGGTTGCTGTGAGCTGTATGACACCATGGCTCTCTACCATGGGCGATAAAGTGAGACCCTGTCTCTACAAAAAAAAAAAAAGTCTATGATCTGACTCCATCTAACTGGCTTACTCCCTACACCCCTGCTCCTAGTGCCCCTACACACATATCCTCACAGACAAGCTTGGCTTATCAAGCCTAGCAGGGCCTTCCAGTCTTTGTCTCTGTTTATACTATTCGTTTGCAATATGCTCCTAATTAGCCTTTTCACCTAAGAAAATTTTATGTCCTGGCTCGACACCTGTAGCTCAGCGGCTAAGGCGCCAGCCACATACACCAGAGCTAGTGGGTTCGAATCCAACCCAGATCTGCCAAACAACAATGACAACTACAACCAAAAAATAAAAATAGTCAGGCGTTGTGGCAGGCACCTGTAATCCTACCTACTTGGGAGGCTGAGGCAAGAGAATCGCTTAAACCCAAGAGTTTGAAGTTGCTGTGAGCTGTGATGCTATAGTACTCTACCAAGAGCAATGAAGTGAGACTCTGTCTCAAAAAAAAAAAAGAAAAGAAAAGAAAATTTTATGTCGTTTAAGGCGAGCTACCTCTTCTGCCCTCACCCTCTCATCTCAAGCTCCTTTAGCTTCTCCTCTAAGCACTTCCTCTGACAGTCCAGCAGGGAGGCTGTGAGCTCCTCAGGAGCCGGTTCTGGTTTGGGCTTGTCTTCCTCACAGTATTTAATTCATGGGAGAGGCTGAGGACATGCTCACTGAGCAAATGCTGCCCATCTTCAGAGAAAGGATGAACCCAAATGACCTATAAACAAAGTAGCTCTCCCCAAATAATTGCGTTCAAAACAGCCTATACCACTGTGACTCAAGAGGCACCTCACCCCAGCCCCCTTCCTCCAGAGGCAGGGATATTTGGCTTATAGAAACATTTCTGGGGCCAGCAAGACCCTGTCTGACCCAGGCCAGCCCTCCTTCCTCCTTGCTAGCCTTGGCTTCTAACTGATAAGATGTTGCCAAGTCACTCCTGCTTATACCACATGTGTATTCAATCCCTTACACTGGCCCTGACTACACTCTTCCATTCTCCAAGCTGGAAGGATCCTATGATTCCATCACATCTTTTCCTGCCCTGGATCCCAGGGAGAAATGCATCATCTCTGGCTTCCAGGCAGGATGGCCTCCGTGCTTGTCCTGGCTTTAGCCCTCTCATAGGCCTGCTGCCTCAGCAGCCTGGCGCTCTGACCGACTATGAGAAGATGGACCCTAGGCCAGCCTGCCCATCAGCCAAAGCCCCACCTTTGGGCAACAGCCTGTGAGGCAGTGGCTGGTCAGATTTGTCACCTAATTGTCTCCCCTCTTATAACATGATTTCCTAGAGTAAGCAGTAACAGAGAAAAGAGGTAACTTTTTTCAGGTTCAAAACCAGCCCAGGCTCTATAGCTGCCTGGCTCTAGCTCCTCTTTGACCTCACTCCTAGTGTAGTACATTATACTACAGAAGAGTGACTTACATGTTTGCCCCTTCAAGGATAAGGAAAGATCCTGTTTATCTCTGTATCTCTAACCAGCATGGGCATTTGGCAAAGGTTTATTAAGTGAACATTTGGAAAAATGAATAAATAAATAAATGAACGTTTGGCCTAATGACTGAAGCAACTAAGCTGCTGGGGGGATTTTTGGAGACAGTCTCAAGCTGTTGCCCTGAATGGAGCACCATGGCATCATAGCTCACAGCAACCTCCAACTCTTGGGCTCAAGCAATCCTCTTGCCTCAGTTTTTCTATTTTTTAGTAGAGACAGGGTCTTGCTTTTGCTCAGACTGGTCTCAAACTTCTGAGTTCAAGCTATCCACCTGCCTCAGCTTCACAGAGTGCTAGGATTACAGGGGTGAGCTGCGGTACCCGACCCCAACTAAGCTGCTTTTAAAAGCATGTATGAAATGTGAACACTAATCATACATTTGACTCCATAGTAAGGACAGAGCTAACAAAGGCCTCAAAGAGTGGCCATGGTGGCTCAGCAACTGTAGCTCAGCAACTAGGGTGCCAGCCACATACACTAGAGCTGGCGGGTTTGAACCTAGCCTGGGCCTGCCAGACAACAATGACAACTACAACCAAAAAAATAGCTGGGTGTTGTGGCCGGTGCCTGTGGTCCCAGCTACTGGGGAGGGTGAGGCAAGAGAATCGCTTAAGCCCAAAAGTTGGAAGTTGCTGTGAGCTGTGACACCATAGCACACTACCGAGGGCAACAAGTAAGACTCTGTCTCAAAAAAAAAAAAAAAAAGAGCAGCCATGGAAACCCTCACACATTCTTCAGAACTAAGCCAGAACAGACACCTGAGAGAAGTTCCTAAGGTATCCTAATAGCTGAACACTGAGTACTGACATTGAATAAAACCATCTGAGCAAAGAAATGCCAAGTCCACTTGTTAGTGTTTGCTCTAAGCTAAAGCTGTTTCTGCAAAAACAACAAAAAGGCTTTTAGGCTCAGTGCCCGTAGTATAGTGGTTATGGCGCCAGCCACATACACCAAGGGTGGTGGGTTCAAACCCAGAAGCTAAACAACTGCAACAAAAAAATAGCCAGGCATTGGGGCTGGCGCCTGTAGTCCCGGCTACTTGGGAGGCTGAGGCAAGAGAATCGCTCAAGTCCAAGAGTTTGAGGTTGCTGTGAGCTGTGACGCCACAGCACTTTACCCAAGTGACATAGACTCTGTCTGGAAAAAAAAAAAAGGATTTCAATGTTCCAATCTTTCCCCTCAACCCCAACAAACTCCATAAACCCAGTTAGGATCAGGTAGGAAAAGACTGATTCTACATCTCAAGAAAGGTGAAGACATTCTTTTCACAGCACAGGGAGATCAGTGACTAAGTTGCCTTCCTAAATGCCTCAGGGACTACTATAGTCCAAGCCTCTTAGAAGATTATCTGTTTGGGGCAGCACCCATAGTTCAGTGGGTAGGGCACCAGCCACATACACCAAGGCTAGTGGGTTTGAACCTGGCCCAGGCCAGCTAAAACAACAATGACAACTGCAACAAAAAAAATAGCCAAGTGTTGTGGTGGGCACCTCCCAGCTACTTGGGAGGATGAGGCAAGAGAATCACTTATGCCCAAGAGTTTGAGGTTGCTGTGAGCTGTGACACCACGGCACTCCTCTAGCCAGGGCAACATCTTGAGATTCTGTCTCCAAAAACAAAACAAAACAAAACAAAAAAAACAATGATCTGTTTTGCTGTCCCATCCCTTGCCCTCGACCCCACCATGTGATTCTGTACCTTTACTATATAGCTCTTATATAATGACCTCCTCATTTATCTATCTCCACAACTAGACTAAGAGCTCTTGGAGGGTACAGACTGGATTTTAGTCATTTCTATGTCTCCAATACTGGGTCCTAATAGTATAGTATAAATGATTCTCAGAAGCCGTTTTTTTGTTTGTTTGTTTGTTTGTTTGTTTGTTTTTGCAGTTTTGGGCTGGGGCCAGGTTTGAACCCACCACCTCCAGTATATGGGGCCGGGGCCCTACTCCTTTGAGCCACAGGCGCCACCCAATGGTTCTCATTTTAAAAGATAACTCCAGGGTGCCCTAATAGCCACTCTCTACAACCTTCCAGCATTCAACTTTGTTCCTAATTCATGTTTTCTTCACTCTCTGAAAACTGGCATTTCTTTTCCTAAAATAAGGTGGCATAGCCTAAGACCATAGCTAGATAGGCTTTCACTCTGGTGAAGTCACCAGAGTGGCTTCATTTTTTTTTTTTTAGAGACAAAGTCTCGATTTGTTGCCCTCGGTAGAGTGCTGTAGCATCACAACTCACAGCAACCTCCAGCTCTTGGGCTTAGGCGATTCTCTTGCCTCAGCCTCCCAAGTAGCTGGGACTACAGGTGCTTGCCACAATGCCCAGTTATTTTTCTGTTGCAGTTTGGCTGGGGCCAGGTTCACACCCACCACCCTCGGTATATGGGGCTGGTACGCTACTGACTCAGCCACAGGCGCTGCCCACCAGAATGGCTTCTATGGAGTCAACATAGAACAAAAAACAACTAGGAACTAAAGGTACAATTCATAATTCATACATATACCCCCAACAGTACCACAGATCAGCAGTGCTTTCTGATGCTAGGCAGTAAGGGTATTAAGAAGAAATGAACTGCTCTCTCAGCTGCCTTCAAGAGTCAAGG